AACTAGAATTTCTAATAAAATATTTACCTATCACCTGCCATTGATCCATGACTGCCTTATAGTAAATTGTTGGCACAGCTGTTTGATGGTGGACACAACGGAAAACTGCCTATTCATATGTGGCTTTTAGAAAAGAATCCCTAAAGTGTAAGATGGTTGGCTGATTGATTAACTTTGCTGTTTCAAGATAAGGGATAGAAGAGAAGGGGTTGCTTTTGTCCTCAAATCAAATATTTCTTTTTCTCCAAAACACAAATCATGAAAATTTTCCCTTTCATTAAACTTGGTTAAGTTGTTTAATATTTCTAGACCTCCCTCGTGTATATAAAATAAATGAGACTTATGTGATCTCTAGGATTATTTTATGCTTCTATATTCTATGATTTGAGAAATTTGATACTAGCAGTACGGCTCAGGCACACCTAAAAATATCCCAAACCCTCCCAAACTAGAGAATACATACCTGGCAAGGATACTCACTTTCTGTTTTTTCTAAATGACAGAAATTGTAGAAATAGTTTAGAGATAGAATGAGACACAAGTCAGTAAACAGAAAAAAATTATGATTTGGAAGAGGTTAATATATTCATTCCATGTCTCTGGGAATCTCACCCCCAGTTAGCCTGTGCCCCAGTAGAATGATTAATGAGCATATTAAAGAGGACACTGGAGTATTTTTACTTTCTGTTTCTTTTTCTTTTTGGTATAATTGCTAAAAGATAAAATCTACCTTCACTGAATGTACTTTTGCTCTTAAACTCCTATGAATTAAAACAGTGCCTTTTACTATCCAGCGTTTTACCATCAATCTATCCACCCAGGTGAAACGTACATGTCCATAAAGTGTGTGCCTAGAGTATGTAGATTTATCAGTTGAATAACTTTTCTATATCAATACTGGATGGTTATTCATGTCAAAATGAACACCGAAAAGATCAGTTTTCTAGCTTTGTCTGAAGAGGCACAATGATTTTAGTTTCTGGTTTTATTCGTAATGCTGATGCCTGGGAAGGCATTCTTTCCAGTTCTCCTCAATTATCAAATAAGACATCTTTCTTTAAATTAGGAAAGGACTCCAAGACCCTGGGCAACAGACTGCATATGGCATCTTTATTGTTAATAGGAATGTGGTATTCACTATAGTTAGTGATTTCAGAAAGTTCATTCAATTATTTTATGTAAATAAATTTGATTGAAAATTCAGCTGGTACCTCGGGATCTGTCTCATATGGTTGCACAGATGCTGAGCACACACAGGCAGCAAAAGATAAGTGTGTCCCTGGGGTTATTGCTTAGTCCTTTGTCTTATTTTCCATTATAGAAGGAAGTAGTCGCTTTGCCCAGGCTCTGAAAAGCATGCTAACAATTTGCGAGGGGGAGAATCCCAATATAATTTAAAATTCCAGATTTCTTTCATAATTATGGTGGCTGCCTTCTGTTTAATTTTATGTGAAGGTCTGTAGGCTGACCAGGTTTTGTAGTTTCAATTGTTCATGAAACTATAATTTTCTGAGAGTGAGTTCACCTTCTAATGAAATGGGTGAAATCCTCTGAGTGTTTGCTTTAACTCCTAATACATTTTGATTAGCCTCCATTTGACAAGAAAAAAAATGGCCCAGGAGATAAGCTGCCCTATCAGTTCATCAGTTTCATTAGTCTGTCAGCATGTGCTGATTATCCTATCAAGTTTATCAGCAGCCTTGAATGTGTTTTCTAATTCACACATTTACATATTATTAGTGCCCTTTAGGGATCAGTGATGGATTATAATGTCTGGCTAGATTTAGCTCGTAAGTATTCATTTTTCTCATGGCTCATTCATTTATTACTTCACGACCACTACCCCCAAGCGCTTGTGTGTATATATACAAACGTTATTTTTTTCATCCTATTTTTTCTTTTATTTGGAAGTTAGGAGAAATAAAGGAATATGTGTGAAAAAAATACAGTTGTGTTTTAATGTTATTATTATTTAATAACTCAATTCATTGTAGTTGTTTTTTTTAATAAAAGACTCTAGTCCTTTGCATCTTCCCTTCCCTTGAACCTTTTATGAAAAACTTATATTACTCGATGCTACATGCTAGTAGTTGACTTATCCTGAACACCAGATGAGCATATTTTTCCCATTTGTGTATTAATAGAAAATAACATGTTTTATTAATTTACTTCCCAACTTAAATTTTTCTATATTTTATCCTGTTAATTTTGTGTGTGTGTGTGAGGAAGATCAGCCCTGAGCTAACATCCGATGCCAATCCTCCTCCGTTTGCCAAGGAAGATCGGCCCTGGGCTGACATCTGTGCCCATCTTCCTCTACTTTATATGGGACGCCGCCACAGCATGGCTTGATGAGCGGTGCGTCAGTGCGCACTCGGGATCGAACCTGCGAACCCTGGGCCTCTGAAGTGGAGCGCACGCACTTAACCTGTGCGCCACCGGGCCGGCCCCCTAAGACTGTTAATTTTTACTCTGGCACTTCATAAGTAAACTTTAAAAAAAAACTTTAAAAATATACTCTCGTTATTCTCTTTGGTTTCATAGGACCAAGATGATTGAGTAACAACACTTGAGGAGTATCATTCCATCCAAAATTATGTGAATTACAAACATATATAAATAATATGACAGATTCTAAAAATTATTTTATAAACAAAAATTAAACTTTCATCTAAGTGGTGGTTGTAATTAGCAAGAATGAGAATACATGATATATTAAGAGACCAAATCACAAAAATAACTATCAAAATTGCTCCTAGCCAGTTGTATGACTTATTTCTGTGGGCCTCCGTTTCCTCTTGAGAGAATAGGTTGTATTAAATGGAGATTCCGTGTAGTATGAAGTCAGGTAGCCCAGGTTCAAATTGTGGCTTTGGCACTTACTAGCTGAGTGGTCTTGGGCAAATTAATTAACTGAAGCCTCAATTTCCCCATCCATAAGATGGCTGTAATAGTAGTGTATGTTTGAGAATTGATTGAGATGATGAAGGTAAAGCATATTGGACCATATGCCCAACCAGTAAGTGTTGCATAGTACTACCTTTCACTGTGATCATTATCATTTCTGTGGGCCTTTAAGCTCCAAAAGTCAATGGTTGTATTCTTTATCAGTTTTTTTGTATTTACCAATATAAATATGATTTCTCTATAAATAAGATTTTGTCATAGTGATCGCCTTGCAGTCACTGACATTCAGCAGGGTTTCTGTTAAGTTCTGTCCCGTCTAGAATTGCTGTATTTTCTCTCGAAGTCTATTTCCCCTTGTCTCTCAGCAACTGCAGTCAAAATCCTTTTGTCATTAACTGTGTTAACCAAAAATGAAGCAGCATGCTCAGTTAATACTCAGTTCACTCCCTCTAAGTTAAAATTGTCATATTGGCAATTTAGGTTAGAGTTTCTTCTCCTTTTCCTGTCATGACATGTTTTCCCCCTAGACTTAGTCAAAATTATTCTTTATTCTGATGTCCTTCATGGGCCTTTATTCAATCTCAATTTCTCTTCTTTTCTTCTCAAATAATAGGTGTATTTTAGAATCATAGAATGTTAGAGATGGAAGATTCATATCTTAAAAATCCTCCTAACGTGATCTTTTTTATTTTATGAGATAGAAATTAACACCCAAAAAGTTGAATTGATCTGTTTAGGATTACACAGTTTGTGTTAGAACCAGAAGTGTAGTTTTCTGACTTAAATTCAAATGCTTTTTCTATTTTAGCCTTCTTCTGTCACTGAAACTGGCATATTTACTATGTCAAGATAGCTTTTCTTTACCCATTTAAAAATCAGCAATATATGTATCTACGTATATCTATATATATCTTATCTTTTGTCCTATATCTTATTTTTTGTCCAAATATATATTAAAAACCTCTTCATCTTAACTAAAAAGAATAAAACACCTGGAAAATTGTGGCTTCATCACAGATGCATGAAATATGCAGGATATTAAAATTTTTTTTAATGTAGGATAATCTTTAACCACCCTCAATTTTTCTCTTTTTTCTCTATAATTCTGTATTTCCCTTACTATGTATACTTAAGCATTGCTTTTGAATAATCCTAAGAGATTATAGGAAACTAAATTAGCCCATAACTTTCAATTACTTTTATCAGTTTGAGCCCTTCTAATCCCAAAGGTC